CTTCTCCGTTTTAATGTCCTTACACTCTCTCAAGGGAAGACCTGTCTGTCTCTCTATAGTAGCTGTAACTGTTATTTTCCCCCCCAAAATTGAACTGACAGATTCTTTAGCCATTCTGCTGTCAATGTAGCATTATATTTTTTTGTTAGAAACATTTATTTTTCAGGTTTGTTACTGCAGAAAGCTGCTGTTTTATTGAGATGTTCTTTCACGAGATCATAGACTTGTACTCCTAGGCCGCCTTTTCATGAGATCATAGATTTATATTCTTAGACCGGCCACTGTCATGGCTGGCACTCTTTGCTCTCTATTAACACGTAGCTACGGAGTGTATACAGCACGAGCCGCGCCATAAGGCCAACTCCCCGAACGAAAGACAAGAAACCAGTCTCGCTGTTGTCAAGTACATACCTCACCTTTCCTTCTTGCCCTTTATCTAGCTCATAATATTATGGTGCTCTCTTGCTGTGCCGGAAATACGCCAGAGTGAGCGGTCTATGATATTGTAATACATGCACAAGTACAAGTCTATACATCAGGTTGAGAAAGAAACAAGAACGCATAGCTTGATGACGTCATTCCCTTTTATAAAACGCTTCATTCATTCATAACTATTGTGCTTCTTTGTACTCAGCAATGGATGGAATAAACAGCTGACTATGTTCTCAAACTGTGTGTCTTGTGTGAACATTGTGTCCGGCAGGGTGGGTGGTTGGCGGTAGAGGTGGGCAAAATCCGGATAAATATCCGGAAAATCGGATAATCCTCAATAAGTACATTATCCGCATTCAGACTCCTAATTCTCTCTCCTGACCAGTTTGGCGAATTGGGTGCACCCATTTGTTGGAGGGATGCTAACTCTTTTGTCAAAGTGGTTTTAACCCATTTGCCTAATCGCTTCACAACATTATTTACCGAAGAGGCGCACTAACATATCATCCGGATTTTTCCTAAAGCGACTCATTGCCCAGCCCTATTTGGCGGGCGCTCTGGTGTGGTTTTCTCCTTTTCCCTATCCAACATCTATCGTCCGTGTCTCTCCTTCTCTGTATGTTGCTCTCCACTAGCAGGTGGTTAGAAAACAGCACTAAAGCAGTACTAAAACAGTACTAAAACAGCACCTGGACATGGATGGCTGGTGCCTCTATAAATAAATAATTGATGGTCTGGTAGTTAGAGGGCGCCACAGGTTGGTCCTACTTCTTTACTTTCTCTCTGTTATTTCTGTCGACCTGCCGTACGTTTACCTGGCACTAACTTACCACTAGTGTGCCGATGGTCTTCTCTTTCCTCAAACAAACACAATCTGTAGTAACGACTCAAGTCTTCGGCACTTATAAGTATAAGACACTTACATGACCTAATTGTGTTGCAAGGGTCCTAAAGCCTTTACTGAAGCTAAACCTAAACTATCCAGGAGAAAAGA